TAATTGACATCATTTGAGTCAATTGGAGGTGTACCTGTGAATGTATTTCAAGGCCTGCCTTCAAACTCAGTGCCTCTTTGCTTGACATCATGGGAAAATCAAAAGAAATCAGCCAAGACCTCATTAAAAAAAATGGTAGACCTCCACAAGTCTGGTTCATCCTTGGGAGCAATTTCCAAACACCTGAAGGTACCACGTTCATCTGTACAAACAATAGTACGCAAGTATAAACACCATGGGACCGCAGCCGTCATACCGCGCAAGAAGGAGACGCGTTCTGTCTCCTAGAGATGAATGTACTTTGGTGCGAAAAGTGCAGAAAAACACCATCCCAACCGTGAAGCACGGGGGTGGCAGCATCATGCTGTGAGGGTGCTTTGCTGCAGGAGGGACTGGTGCACTTCACAAAATAGATGGCATCATGACGAAGGGAAATTATGTGGATATATTGAAGCAACACCTCAAGACATCAGTCAGGAAGTTAAAGCTTGGTCGCAAATGGGTCTTCCTAATGGACAATGACTATAGAAAATTTGTGGGCAGAACTGGAAAAGCGTGTGCGAGCAAGGAGGCCTACAAACCTGACTCAGTTACACCAGCTCTGTCAGGAAGAATGGGCCAAAATTCACCCAACTTATTGTGGGAAGCTTGTGGAAGGCTCCCCGAAACGTTTGACCCAAGTTAAACAATTTAAAGGCAATGCTACCAAATACTAATTGAGTGTATGTAAACTTCTGACCCACTGGGAATGTGATGAAAGAAATAAAAGCTGAAATAAATCACTCTCTCTACTATTATTCTGACATTTCACATTCTTAAAATAAAGTGGTGATCCTAACTGACCTAAGACAGGGAATTTTTACTAGGATTAAATGTCAGGAATTGTGAAAAACTGAGTTTAGATGTATTTGGCTAAGGTGTATGTCAACTTCCGAATTCAACTGTGTGTGCAAGTTGAAAAGTGTAGTGTTTGTGTTCCTGTGTAGTTGGAGATCATCCTCCTCTATGATACGACCACGCGTGTTGTGGTGAGGAACAACCGCCAAACCCTGTTTAACTACGTCTTCACCACGCCCCTGCCACGCTTCGAAGGCAGCTACTACCTGGCCGGAGTCCCAGAGGAGAAGATGCCTGAAAAGTGAGCAACATACACACACACACGCACAGACACGCAGACACACACACACACACGCATGACCACACACACACACGCAGACACACACACACGCAGACACACACACACGCAGACACACACACACACACGCACAGACACGCAGACACACACAGACACGCAGACACACACACACACACGCAGACACACACACACACGCAGACACACACACACGCAGACACATACACACGCAGACACACACACACACACACAGACACACAACACACACACGCAGACACACACACACACGCAGACACACACACACGCAGACACACACACACGCAGACACACACACACGCAGACACACACACACACAGACACACACACACACACACGCAGACACACACAGGAAAGACATTCCCAAGTATGAAACACTATTTGACTGCAGTATGTTAACTCTTCATGATATTTTTCTCCCTCTACCCAGCCTGAAGGCCCTGTTCCCTCGTCAGGGCTCTCTTAAGGGCTGTTTCAGGAACGTCAAGGCCATGAACTCTCACATCGACCTGAAGAGAATGAGCAGCTCTGGGGTCAGCTACGGCTGTGCCAACGACCTACTGGTTAGTATACTGTTAGTTATGGGCAGATCTGGGGTCAGCTACGGCTGTGCCAACGACCTACTGGTTAGTATACTGTTAGTTATGGGCAGGTCTGGGGTCAGCTACGGCTGTGCCAACGACCTACTGGTTAGTATACTGTTAGTTATGGGCAGGTCTGGGGTCAGCTACGGCTGTGCCAACGACCTACTGGTTAGTATACTGTTAGTTATGGGCAGATCTGGGGTCAGCTACGGCTGTTCCAACGACCTACTGGTTAGTATACTGTTAGTTATAGGCAGGTCTGGGGTCAGCTACGGCTGTGCCAACGACCCTACTGGTTAGTATACTGTTAGTTATGGGCAGATCTGGGGTCAGCTACGGCTGTGCCAACGACCTACTGGTTAGTATACTGTTAGTTATAGGCAGGTCTGGGGTCAGCTACGGCTGTGCCAACGACCTACTGGTTAGTATACTGTTAGTTATAGGCAGGTCTGGGGTCAGCTACGGCTGTTCCAACGACCTACTGGTTAGTATACTGTTAGTTATAGGCAGGTCTGGGGTCAGCTACGGCTGTGCCAACGACCTACTGGTTAGTATACTGTTAGTTATGGGCAGATCTGGGGTCAGCTACGGCTGTGCCAACGACCTACTGGTTAGTATACTGTTAGTTATGGGCAGATCTGGGGTCAGCTACGGCTGTGCCAACGACCTACTGGTTAGTATACTGTTAGTTATGGGCAGATCTGGGGTCAGCTACGGCTGTTCCAACGACCTACTGGTTAGTATACTGTTAGTTATGGGCAGATCTGGGGTCAGCTACGGCTGTTCCAACGATCTGCTGGTGAGTATTGAGACAATAACACTCTCAGCCACAGGGATACATTATATGAAATATTCCCTGACCAAGATGGCTGTCCTTTTAGTCACGTTGCTGAGATGCCAATGTCCATTCTAGTGTTCTAATTCTGTGCTCTCTGTATATCAGGTGGCCCGTGAGGCCCACTTCTCAGGCCAGAGTTACTTGGACCTGTCTCCAGACAGCATCCCTGGTCTCAGGAACAGCTTCTACTGCCGGCTTCGGCTTCCGCACAGACCAGAAGAACGGACTCTGTTCTAACCAAGGACTCAGTACTCCCCTCTCTCTCTCTCTCTCTCTTCTCTTCTCTGTTCTGCTATTCCTCTCTTCTCTCTCTCTTTCTTCTCTCTATCTCATCTGATGCTCTCTCTCTCTCCTCTCTCTCTCTCTTCTCTTGTCTCTGTGCTTTCTTCTCATGTGTCTGTGTTCTCTCCTGTCTCTTCTCTGTCTCTTCTCTCTTGTCTGCTCTCTTCTCTCTTTCTGTCCTCCTCTCTCTCCTCATTCTGTCTCACTCTTCTCACTCTCTCTGTCTCTCTCTGTCTCTCTCTCTGTCTCTCTCTCTCTGTCTCTCTCTCTCTCTCTCTCTCTCTCTCTCTGTGTCTCTGTGTCGTGGTGTTCTCTCTGTCTCTCTCTCTGTCTCTCTCTCTCTCTCTCTGTCTCTCTCTCTGTCTCTCTCTCTCTCTCTCTGTCTGTGTTCTCTCTCTGTCTCTCTCTCTCTCTCTTTGTCTCTCTCTTTGTCTCTCTCTCTATCTGGTGTTCTCTCTCGTCATGACGGTGTGTGATGTAATGTGTGTTCTCTCGTCAGGACGGCGTGTGCCAGGTGTTCCTAGATAAGGGTCATGTGATAGTGAGGGCAGGTAACAACGAGGTGAAGACTCAGAAGACCTACAACGATGACAACGATCATTATGTAGCTCTGTACAGCAACAGCAATGGGTAGGATTTACCATCTATCAACTACATGATCATTATGTAGCTGTACAGCAACTACCAACTCAATTAGTATTATCTACCACTGATCTCGAGTTGACTAAGGCTAATTCAACATACATTAGCTGGATACTATTTGATAACCCCTGCCCATGTGACATGTTGGGTTGCTGACTCGTTGCTGATGTCTTGTGTCGTGGTTTGTGTCTCTGTAGGTTGCGTCTGTATGTGGATGACGTCCTGGAGAAGGCTGGGGATAGTGGTCGTGGAGGGGACAGCAGCCAGGCGGCATTACTACCTGGAGGGGTCTACCTGGGAGGAACACCTGACAGCAGCCTCAACAACCTTACCGGCTGTCTTAGCAACCTGTTCATCAAGAGGTTAGTAACCTTACTGGCTGTCTTAGTAACCTTACTGGCTGTCTTAGTAACCTTACCGCTGTCTTAGTAACCTTACCGGCTGTCTTAGTAACCTTACCGGCTGTCTTAGCAACCTGTTCATCAAGAGGTTAGTAACCTTACTGGCTGTCTTAGCAACCTTACTGGCTGTCTTAGTAACCTTACCGGCTGTCTTAGTAACCTTACCGGCTGTCTTAGCAACCTGTTAATCAAGAGGTTAGTAACCTTACTGGCTGCCATAGCAACCTTACCGGCTGTCTTAGCAACCTTACCGGCTGTCTTAGCAACCTTACCGGCTGTCTTAGCAACCTTACCGGCTGTCTTAGTAACCTTACCGGCTGTCTTAGTAACCTTACCGGCTGTCTTAGCAACCTTACCGGCTGTCTTAGCAACCTTACCGGCTGTCTTAGCAACCTTACCGGCTGTCTTAGCACCCTTACCGGCTGTCTTAGTAACCTTACCGGCTGTCTTAGGAACCTTACCGGCTGTCTTAGTAACCTTACCGGCTATCTTAGCAACCTTACCGGCTGTCTTAGTAACCTTACCGGCTGTCTTAGTAACCTTACCGGCTATCTTAGCAACCTTACCGGCTGTCTTAGTAACCTTACCGGCTGTCTTAGTAACCTTACCGGCTATCTTAGCAACCTTACCGGCTGTCTTAGTAACCTTACCGGCTGTCTTAGTAACCTTACCGGCTGTCTTAGTAACCTTACCGGCTATCTTAGCAACCTTACCGGCTGTCTTAGTAACATTACCGGCTGTCTTAGTAACCTTACCGGCTGTCTTAGCAACCTTACCGGCTGTCTTAGCAACCTCACCGGCTGTCTTAGTAACCTTACCGGCTGTCTTAGTAACCTTACCGGCTGTCTTAGCAACCTGTTCATCAAGAGGTGAACAACATATGGGGTTAAGAGCACAGGAATAGACAGAGCAGAGAAAGTAGGGAGGTGTGGAGGATTACATTCATTTCACAGTTTAAAATTGAGAGATGGATATGTTGCTACTACTACTAGATTAGAAACTAATTCTCTAAGACTAGATCTGATATACCACTGGAATAATATAACTGGAACTGTATCCCATGACAACGGGCCAACAACACTAGAATGACTGTAACGTTACTCTACAGAGACAAGCCTTCTCAGATGGTGGTGAACCTGATGAATGCTAAGGAGAACATCGACGTTCCTCTAGATTGTCCTGCTGCCAAGAAACCTCAGCAGATCCTGGCCACACCCCCACGCCAGAAGAAGCCTAAGGTACCTGACCTGCCACCATGGAGATATACAGTATATAATAAAGCATCTTCACTCTGGATTGAGTTGGTTGACCTGACACCAAAAACGGTTACTTTTGAAATTATTGCAAATGTATTAAATATAAAAAACTGAAATATCATATATTTATACATTTGTCATTTAGCAGACGCTAAATGTATATATATATATAAGTATTCAGACCCTTTACTCATTACTTTGTTGAAGCACTTTTGGCAGCGATTACAGCCTCCGAGTCTTCTTGGGTATGACGCTACAAGCTTGGCACACCTGTATTTGGGGAGTTTCTCCCATTCTTTTCTGCAGATTCTCTCAAGCTCTGTCAGGTTGGATGGGGAGCGTCGCTGCACAGCTATTTTCAGGTCTCTCCAGAGATGTTAGATCGGGTTCAAGTCCGGGCTCTGGCTGGGCCACTCAAGGACATTCAGAGACTTGTCCCGAAGCCACTCCTGCGTTGTCTTGGCTGTGTGCTTAGGGTAGTTGTCCTGTTGGAAGGTGAACCTTTGCCCCAGTCTGAGGTCCTGAGCAGGTTTCCCTTGATCGTGACTAGTCTCCCAGTCCCTGCCGCTGAAAAACATCCCCACAGCATGATGCTGCCACCACCATGCTTCACCGTAGGGATGGTCCCAGGTTTCCTCCAGACGTGACGCTTGGCATTCAGGCCAAAGCGTTCAATCTTAGTTTCATCAGATCAGAGAATCTTGTTTCTCATGGTCTGAGAGTCCTTTAGGTGCCTTTTTGCAAACTCCAAGCGGGCTGTCATGTGCCTTTTACTGAGGAGTGGCTTCTGTCTGGCCACTCTACCATAAAGGCCTGATTGGTGGAGTGCTGCAGAGATGGTTGTCCTTCTGGAAGGTTCTCCCATCTCCACAGAGGAATTCTGGAGCTCTGTCAGAGTGACCAACGGGTTCTTGGTCACCTCCCTGACCAAGGCCCTTCTCCCCCGATTGCTCAGTTTGGCCGGGCGGCCAGCTCTAGGAAGAGTCTTGGTGGTTCCAAACTTCTTCCATTTAAGAATGATGGAGGCCACTGTGTTCTTGGGGACCTTCAATGCTGCAGAAATGTTTTGGTACCCTTCCCCAGATCTGTGCCTCGACACAATCCTGTCTCGGAGCTCTACGGACAATTCTTTCGACCTCATGGCTTGGTTTTTGCTCATGTCCAATCAATTGAATTTACCACAGGTGGATGCCAATCAAGTTGTAGAAACATCTCAAGGATGATCAATGGAAACAGGATGCACCTGAGCTAAATTTTCGAGTATCATAGCAAAGGGTCTGAATACTTGTGTAAATAAGGTATTTTTTTTATTTCTAAAAACCTGTTTTCGCTTTGTCATTATGGGTTATTTTGTGTAGATTGAATTTTAGTTTTTTTAAATTAATTTTAGAATAAGGCTGTAACGTAACAGAATGTGGAAAAAGGGAAGGGGTCTGAATATCTGTTTCTGTCTTCCTCTCCTATGTTCTCCATCACATTTTCAGCGTCTAACTTTCCTAGACACCTGCTCGTCGAACATCTCATTCCAAAATCATGGGCATTAGTATGGAGTTGGTTCCCCCCCTTTGCTGCTATAACAGCCTCCGCTCTTCTGGGAAGGCTTTCCACTAGATGTTGGAACATTGCTGCGGGGACTTGCTTCCATTCAGCCAAAAGAGCATTAGTGAGGTTGGGCACTGATGTTGGGTGATTAGGCCTGGCTCGCAGTCGCCGTTCCAATTCATCCCAAAGGTGTTCGATGGGGTTGAGGTCAGGGCTCTGTGCAGGCCAGTCAAGTTCTTCCACACCGATCTCGACAAACCATTTCTGTATGGACCTCCCTTTGTGCATGGGAGCATTGTCTTGCTGAAACAGGAAAGGGCCTTCCCAAAACTGTTGCCACAAATTTGGAAGCACAGAATCGTCTAGAATGTCATTGTATGCTGTAGCGTTAAGATTTCCCTTCAATGGAACTAAGGGGCCTAGCCCGAACCATGAAAAACAGCCCCAGACCATTATTCCTCCTCCACCAAACTTTACAGTTGTCACTATGCATTGGGGTAAGTAGCGTTCTCCTGGCATCCGCCAAACCCAGATTTGTCACTTGGACTGCCAGATGGTGAAGCGTGATTCATCACTCCAGAGAACGCGTTTCCACTGCTCCAGAGTCCAATGTCAGCGAGCTTTACACCACTCCAGCCGACGCTTGGCATTGTGCGTGGTGATCTTAGGCATGTGTGCGGCTGCTCGGCCATGGAAACCCATTTCATGAAGCTCCTGACGAACAGTTATTGTGCTGATGTTGCGTCCAGAGGCAGTGTTGCAACCGATAACATACGATTTTTACTCGCTACATGCTTCAGCACTCAGCGGCCCCGTTCTGTGAGCTTGTGTGGCCTACCACTTAGCGGCTGAGCTGTTGTTGCTCCAAGATGTTTACACTTCACAATAACACTACTTAGAGTTGACCGGGGCAGCTCTAGCATGGCAGAAATTTTACGAACTGACTTGTTGGAAAGGTGGCATCCTATGACAGTGCCACGTTGAAAGTCACTGAGCTCTTCAGTAAGGCCATTCTACTGCCAATGTTTGTCTATGGAGATTGCAGTGCTCGATTGTATACACCTGTCAGCAACGGGTGTGGCTCAAATAGCCGAATCCACTAATTTGATTAATGTAGTGTATCAGTGGATGAACAACCCTCTCTATCTACCCTTTCCCCTGGTCCTTTACAACAACTCACTGTGAAATTCTCTTTCCTTCCTTCCGCCCTTCCTTCCATCCTTCCTTCCTTCCTTCCTTCCTTCCTTCCTTCCTTCCTTCCTTCCTTCCTTCCTTCCTTCCTTCCTTCCTTCCTTCCTTCCTTCCTTCCTTCCTTCCTCCCTCCCTCCCTCCCTCCCTCCCTCCCTCCCTCCCTACCTCCCCACCTCCCCCCTCCCCCCCTCCCCACCCCCCTCCCCCCTCCCCCCTCCCTCCCCCCCCTCCCTCCCTCCCTCCCTCCCTCCCCCCCTCCACACCTCCCCCCCTCCCCCCCTCCCCCCTCCCTCCCCGCCTCCCCCCTCCCTTCCTACCTCTACAGGGTAAACAAAGGAAGCCTGCTGGTGGTAGTTGGTCAGGCGGGCAGAGCCGCAGTGCCAGGGAGTCCTGCCAGGGGGAGCTGGCCAATCAGGAGGTTGGAGGTCTGCACTTCAGTGGCTCCTCCCACAGCCACCAGCGCTACGACACGCTTCCCGAGGCCTTCAGCAGGACGTGAGTACTAGTACCAGTTTTACCATATCCAATCCTCTGGGATCTAGGACTGTCTAGGGTGAACGGCTAGGAGTCTGTTTGGAATTCAGCTAGAGTGGTGTTTGAGATCGGCTACAGTGCAGTTGTTGACATGCAGATTGACTGATCTACAAATCATCCTGCATCCTAAATAACTGCTCAGTATTATTTGTAGATCAGTTAGCCTGCTCAATCTGTGATCAGCAACTGAGCAAAATGGCCGGTAAACAACACCTTTCCCACCTGTCACTGCCCCGTCTCTCCCACCTGTAACACCTGTCATGCCCCCGGCTCTCACACCTGTAACAACCTGTCACTGCCCCCGTCTCTCCCACCTGTAACCCTGTTCCGGCCGCACTGGCACTCAACTCGGCCCCGTCTCTCCCACCTTTCACCACCTGTCCATGCCCCGTCTCTCCCCTTTCCCCCCTGTCCACTCTGGCCCCGTCGCCCCACCTTTCCTTCCCCACCTGTCCTGCCCCGTCTCTCCAACCTGTAACACCTGTCCTGCCCCCTGCCCCCAGCCCCAGTTCTCTCCCACCTTTCCCCACCTGTCACTGCCCCGTCTCTCCCACCTGTAACACCTGTCACTGCCCCGTCTCTCCCACCTGTAAACACATGTCACTACTGCCGCCCCCGTCTCTCACCCCCCCTCCCACCTGTAACACATGTCACTGCCCCGTCTCTTCTCCCACCTGTACCCTGTCACGGCCCCGTCTCTCCCGACCTTTCCCACACCTGTCACTGCCCCGTCTCTCCCACCTGCTAACACCGTCACTGCCCTGCCCCGTCTCCCCACCTTTCCCCCTGTCACTGCCCCGTCTCTCCCACATGTAACACCTGTCCTGCCCCGTCTCTCCACCTTACACCTGTCACTGCCCCGTCCTCTCCCACCTGTAACACACCTTGTCCACGCCACCGTCTCTCACACCTTCCCCACCTGTCACTGCCCTGTCCTCGTCTCTCCCACCTGTAACACCTGTCCTGCCCTGTCTCTCCCACCTTTCCCACCTGTCACTGCCCCGTCTCTCCCACCTGTAACACCTGTCACTGCCCCGTCTCTCCCACCTTTCCCACCTGTCACTGCCCCGTCTCTCCCACCTTTCCCACCTGTCCACTGGCCCCGTCTCTCCCACTTCCCTGACTCTGCCCGTCGCTCCCACCTTCCCACCTGTCACTGCCCCCGGTCTCGTCCCACCTGTAACACCTGCACTGCCTGCCCCGTCTCTCCCACCTTTCCCACTCTTCACTGCCCCGCTCTCCCAACCTTGTACACCTGTCACTGCCCCCGTCCTCCCACCCTGTACCCCCTGTCACTCTGGCCCCGTCTCTCCCACCGTAACACACTGTCACTGCCCTCTCTCCCACCTTCACTGCCCCTTCCTCTCCCACCTTAACACCTGTCAACTGCCCGTCTTCCCACCGTAACATCTGTCCACTGCCCCTCTCTCCCACCTGTAACACCTGTCACTGCCCCGTCTCTCCCACCTGTAACACCTGTCACTGCCCCGTCTCTCCCACCTTTCCCACCTGTCACTGCCCCGTCTCTCCCACCTGTAACACCTGTCACTGCCCCGTCTCTCCCACCTTTCCCACCTGTCACTGCCCCGTCTCTCCCACCTGTCCCACCTGTCCACTGCCCCCTTCCTCCCACCTTTCGCCCCCTCACCTGCCAACTGGCGCCGCCCCGTCCTCCCAACCTTTCCCCACCTGTCACTGCCCCGTCTCTCCCACCTGTAACACCTGTCACTGCCCCCGTCTCTCCACCTTTCCCACTGTCACTCTGCCCCGTCCTCTTCCCACCTGTACACCTGTCCACGTTCACCTCTGCCCCCCGTCTCCCCCACCTGTAACACCTTTCCTGCCCGTCTCTCCCCCTGTACCACACCTGTCACTGCCCCGGCTCTGCTCTCCCACCTGTAACACCTGTTCACTGCCCCCGTTCTCTCCCCCTGTACAACCTGTCACTGCCCCGTCTCTCCCAACCTTTCCCACCTTCACTGCCCCGTCTCTCCCCCTTTCCCACCGCACTGCCCCGTCTCTGTTCACTGCCCCCCGTCTCTTCCCACCTGTAACACTGTCACTGCCCCGTTCTCTCCCACCTTTCCCACCTTGGGGGGGGGGGGGGTCACTGCCCGTCCTCCCACTCCCACCTTTCCCACCTGTCACTGCCCCGTCTCTCCCACCTTTCCCACCTGTCACTGCCCCGTCTCTCCCACCTTTCCCACCTGTCACTGCCCCGTCTCTCCCACCTGTACCACCTGTCACTGCCCCGTCTCTCCCACCTGTAACACCTGTCACTGCCCCGTCTCTCCCACCGTCCCACCGGCCACTGCCCCGTCTCCCCACCTTTCCCACCCTGCACTGACTGCCCCTTTCTCTCCCACCTTCCCCAACCGTCACTGCCCCGTCTCTCCCACTGTAACACCTGTCCCCTGCCCTTCTCTCCCACCTTTCCCACCTGTCACTGCCCCGTCTCTCCCACCTTTCCCACCTGTCACTGCCCCGTCTCTCCCACCTGTAACACCTGTCACTGCCCCGTCTCTCCCACCTGTAACACCTGTCACTGCCCCGTCTCTCCCACCTGTAACACCTGTCACTGCCCCGTCTCTCCCACCTGTAACACCTGTCACTGCCCCGTCTCTCCCACCTGTAACACCTGTCACTGCCCCGTCTCTCCCCCCTTATCACCTTCCCACTGCCCCGTCTCTCCCACCTGTACCCCCTGTCACTGCCCCGTCTCTCCCACCTGTAACACCTGTCACTGCCCCGTCTCTCCCACCTGTAACACCTGTCACTGCCCCGTCTCTCCCACCTTTCCCACCTGTCACTGCCCCGTCTCTCCCACCTTTCCCACCTGTCACTGCCCCGTCCTCGCCCCACCTTTCCCACCTGTCACTGCCCCGTCTCTCCCACCTGTAACACCTGTCACTGCCCCGTCTCTCCCACCTGTCACACCTGTCACTTTGCCCCCCCGTCCTCTCCACCCTTAACCCTGGCCCTTGTGCCCCTTCTCTCCCCACCTGTAACACCTGTCACTGCCCCCTCTCCACCTTTCCACCTGTTCACTGCACTCTCGCTCCCACCGTTCCCACCTTCACCTGCCCCGTCTCTCCCACCTGTAAACACTTTCACTGCCCGCCGTCTCTCCCCTGTAACACCCTGTCACTCTGGCCCCGTCTCTCCCACCTTTCCCAACCTGTACTGCCCCTCTCTCCCACCTTTCCCACCTGTTCACTGCCGCCGTCTCTCCCACCTTTCCCCTGTCACTGCCCCCGTCTCTCCACCTGTAACACCTGTCACTGCCCCTTCTCGATCCACCTGTAACACTGTCACGGCCCCCCGTCTCTCCGCACCTTCCCACCTGTCACTGCCCCTTCTCTCCCACCTTTCCCACCTGTCACTGCCCGTCTCTCCCACTGTAACACCTGTCCTGCCCCGTCTCTCCCACATTTCCCCCCTAGAAAACAAAAGAGGAGTGTCACTCGGCCCCCGTCCTCTCCACCGTGTAACAACCAACACCTGTCCGCCCATCTCTCCCACCTTTTTCCCACCTGTCACTGCCACTGCCCCGTCTCTCCCACCTTTCCCACCTGTCACTGCCCCGTCTCTCCCACCTGTAACACCTGTCACTGCCCCGTCTCTCCCACCTGTAACACCTGTCACTGCCCCGTCTCTCCCACCTGTAACACCTGTCACTGCCCCGTCTCTCCCACCTGTACACCTGTCACTGCCCCGTCTCTCCCACCTTTCCACCCGTGTCCAACTGCGCCCCGTCTCTCCCACCTGTACCACTGTCCACTGCCCCGTCTCTCCACCGTACCAGCCTGTCACTGCCCCGTCCTCCACCGTACTAACACCTGTGCACTGCCGCCGTCCTACCACCTTTCCCCCACCTGTCACTGCCCCGTTCTCCCCACCTGTAACACACCTGGCATGCCCCGTCTCTCCCCAACCTTTCCACCTGTCAACTTCCGCCCCCGTCTCTCCCAACCTTACACCTTTCAACTACTGCCCCCCGTTCTCGCTCCCACCTTCCCACCTGTCACTCTGCCCCGTCTCCCAGCCTTTCCCACTGTCACTGCCCCCGCTCTCCCACCTGTCATGCCCCGTCTCTCCCCCCTTTCCCACCTGTCACTGCCGCCCCTCCTCTCTCCCACCTGTAACACCTTGTCACTCACTGCCCCCCGCTCTCCCACCTTTCCCACCTGTCACTGCCCCGTCTCTCCCACCTGTAACACCTGTCACTGCCCCGTCTCTCCCACCTGTAACACCTGTCACTGCCCGCCCCGTCTCTCTCCCACCGTACCACCCTGTCACTGCCCTGCGACTGCCCCGCCCTTGCCCCGTCTCTCCCATCCCCACCTTTTTCACTCCCCGTCTCTCCACCTGTTAACACCTGTCACTGCCCGCCCCGTCTCTCCACCTGTAACATCTGTCACTGCCCCGTCTCTCCCAACTGTAACAACCTGTCACGCTCTGCCCCGTCTCTCTCCCACCTGAACACCTGTCACTGCCCCGTCGCTCCCACCTTTCCCACCTTCACTGCCCTTCTCTCTCCTCCCACCTGTACCACCTGTCACTGCCCGTCTCTCCCACCTTTCCCCACCTGCACTGCCCCTTCTCCCCACCTTCCGCCTGTCACTGTCCCCGTCTCTCCCCCTTTCCTTCCCACCTGCCACTGCCCCGTCTCCCCACCTTTCCCACCTGTCACTGCCGCCCGTCTCTCCCACCCTTGTAACACCTGTCCACTGCCCCGTCTCTTCTTCCCACCTTTCCCACCTGTCACTCTGCCCTGCCCCTGTCTCTTCCCACCTGTACACCTGTCACTGGCCCCTTCTCTCCCAACCTGTAAACACCTGTCAACTGCCCCTGCCCTTCCTCCGCACCTTTAACACCTGTCACTGCCCCCCTGCCCCGTCTCTCCCACCTTAACACCTGTCACCTTCTGCCCCGCCCCGTCTCTCCACCTGTAACACCTTCACT